TAGCCACAGCACCTAAACAGAAGCGGAGGATTGGCTAGGCGTGGTGGCTCATGCCTGTAATCCCAGCACTTTGGGAGGCAGAGGTGGGAGGATGGCTTGAGCTCAGGAGTTCAAGACCAGCCTGGCAACAGAGTGAGACTCCGTCTCTACAAAAATAAAAATAAATTAGCGGAGTCTGGCAACGCATGCCTGTAGACCTGGCTACTCTGGAGGCTGAGGCAGGAGGATCTCTTGAGCAGTTCCTGGCTGCAGTGAGCTATGATCGTGCCACTGCACTCCAGCCTGGGTGACAAGGGTGAGACCCTGTCTCAAAAGGAAAGAAAGAAAAAGGTGGAGGACTGCAGAGGGGCTGAGGAACCGGAGGGGCGTCGGCAGAGGGCACGGAAGGAGGCGGCTGGTTAGAGATAGAGCTCGCCAGTCCCGGCCCCTCCATGGAGCAACGTAGTCCGGCAGGCCTGGCACACCGCCACCACAAGGGGGCAGCGTCCTCCACAGGGTCCCTGTGTGGACGCGCTGTGGGGGCTGAGGCACCCAGAGGTCCGGCTCTGGGGATCTGGTGTCATCCGTATAATTTTTAAAATCTCGGCCGGGCGCGGTGGCTCACTCCTGTAATCCCAGCACTTTGGGAGGCTGAGGTGGGTGGATCACCTGAGGTCAGGAGTTCGAGACCAGCCTGGCCAACATGGTGAAACCCCATCTCTACTAAAAATACAAAATTAGCCCTGGGCGTGGTAGCGCACGCCTGTAGTCCCAGCTACTTGGGAAGCTGAGGCAGGAGAATCGCTTGAACCTGGGAGGTGGAGGTTGCAGTGAGCCGAGATCGAGGTCGCGCCACTGCACTCCAGCCTGGGAGGTTGCAGTGAGCTGAGATCGCGCCACCGCACTCCAAAAATAATAATAATAATAATAAATATATATATAATAAAAATCTCGTATTTCGAAAGTTTTCAAATCCAGATTCTGAGGGAAAACAGGGGCAGTCACACAAATCATGTTGCCACCCAGTTGAACCCTGCCAGGGAGTGGTGTGTCAGCCCTTTTGGGATTAGCAATAATTCCATTCCCAGATGATTTCAAGGGTGAGGCCCGCGGAATCTAGAACCTGAGACAGCCCTAAAGGAGGAGAAGACCGCGGGGAGCTGGCAGGGCCGGCCTTTGACCTCCGCCTGCCCAGTTTTTAAAGTCCGCAGGCAAAAACCACAACCCAATAACCCATATTGATTGCTTAGGTGCTGGCAGGCGCTTTCGCAATCTCTCAATTACTCCTCACAACCCAGATTCCAGAGCCTGTGCCCCAATTTTTGGCCAAAAATCCAAATGATGGTGATGAGCAAAGTCCACACACCCCCAAACACACACTCGCGCACACAAACTAGAAAGCCATCGCGCCCTTCATTGTCAGCCACGGAGGAGGGGCTCTGATTGTAAAAATTCCAGAGCAGGTCGGGGGACTGGCAACTCTAAAAGAGATTCCTTGCTTCGGGTGGGGCCTTGCTGGGGGCTGCCCGGCTCCCTCTCCTCCCCCACTCCCTCCCTGCTGAGGCATCACATTCTCCTTCACCAGGTCATCCTAACCTAAAGCACATACCTTTGCGTTGGTGGGCCATCCGCCTGGGTGAGTATTGTTCCATGGGATAAGCATCCAGAGCCATAAAAGGCTCAGAATTTTAATTGCCTATTCACAGCCAAGAGAAACATTTACCCAGGGCCAATGCAAGGCAGGTATCTGAGGATAAGAAGCACAATTACGGTGCAGAGAGGCTTGAGGCTGGGGACGACACTTCAGGAATCACTGTGGGTGATTCACAAGAATGTGAGCTATGCCAATCCACAGAAATGGGCGTTAAATTTTAAAACAGCAGAATGCAAAGATAAACTGATTGCAACCACAGGAAGAGCACGTATCTGTGTGATGCATGTTGACAGAAAGCAGGAAATTCGAGAAATGAAGGCACCGTTCACCAGATTCTTTTCTGTCTGTGTTACTCACACCAGTTACTGTATGTAACTGTAGTTACTAACACCAGTTACTCGTGTATTATAGCATGGGTCTATAGACTATGGCCAGTAGGCCAAGCTCAGGCTATATAGCCTAATTTTTTTTCTTTTCTTTTTTTCTTTTTTATTGGAGACGGAATGTCACTCTGTGGCCCAGGGTGGAGTGCAGTGGCACAATCTCAGCTCACTGCAACCTCCACCTCCCGGGTTCAAGCGATTCTCGCGCCTCAGGCCTCCCAACGCTAGCTAGGAGTTTACAGGCACACGACCACCGACACGCTGGCTATTTTTGAGTAGGAGACAGGTGTTGCCACCAGGTGTGGTCAGGCTGGTTCTTCAAGCTCCCGGACCCTCAGTGAGATCCGCCCACCGCTGACTCCAAAGGTTGGGATTCGGAGCATGAGCCACTGTGCTGGGCCAGTTTTTTTTGTATTCTTGTAGTAGAGAATGGGGTTTTCACCATGTTGGTCAGGAGTGTCATCGGAACTGCGACGTGTTTGTGTCCAAACCGTATGTGCAAAGTGCTTGTCTGTGTGGAGCCACTTGGAGGTTGTTGTTTTGTTTGCGTGTTTTTTTTTTTTTTTTTTTTTTTTGTTTTTTGGGGTTAACTTTCTTGTTTGTAATTTGTCCGTTGTGTTCTTGTTTCGTCTTGTTTTTGATTTTTTGAGGTTTTTTCTTCGTGTGTGTGGTGGGTGTTTGGATTTGGTGTGTGTTGTTTTTGTTGGTTTTGTGGCCCAGCCTGTGGCCAGTTTTTAAACAAACCTTAAGCTAAGAATGATTTTTACATTTGAAGGAGGAGGAGGAGGAGAGAAAGAAAAAGTATGCCGCCCCCCCGTTTTATATAAATACATAATTATACAATCAGCCATTTTCACTATGAATATGCTAAGCTCCAAAACACAGGGAGGCCAACGTATGACTATAAGCATTCCTGCCTTTGGGAGGCATTAGGCACAAGCTGTGTGAAGAAAAAACTGAAAACATAACTCATCAAGGCTGGGCACAATGGGTCATGCCTGTAATCCTGCAATCCCAGCAATTTTTTTTTTTTTTT